CGCACGTCCTTGCGGAGGGGGGGGTGGGGCAGGACAGGACAGCCAGGTCCTGAGCGTACCTCTCCTCCAGGGCTGGTGCTGGTCACCGACGCCGTCCCTGCCTTGGGCCTGGGCAATGGCCGCCACACACTGGGGCAGCAGGAGGTGGAGGTGGATGGGCTGATGGCCCACGTGGCAGGTGAGCGAGCGGTGTGCCCGCGAGGACAGCCCGAGGCCTCTGCTGCGGTGCGGGAGACCTTTGTACCCCTTGCCTGCTGCTCCCGTACTCTGCAGCCCCCCCACTGAGTCTGGTCCCTTTGCTCTCAAGGTACCAAGACCCTGTGTGGCAGCATCGCCCCCATGGACGTGTGTGTCCGCTATTTCCTGCAGGCCACAGGTACGTGGCCAGCTCTGCCACCCGTGGAGTCCAGAGGGGAGGCTCCGTGGGGCCAGTAGCCGGCTGCTAGAGCTGGGTGATGGCAGCGAAGCCCTGGCCTCGGGAAGAGCGGCAGCCCTCAAGTTGTGCACGGGAGGGCCACGGCCCAGTGCTGTTGTGGCCACTCCAGGGGCAGGGCTGGGGGCAGTAGAGCAGGTGCAAGTTGCTTTTCCAAGGCTCCAGGGCAGCCATGCAGGGGCCTTCTGGGGGTGGCGAGGAGGGTGGCGCCCTGGCAGGTCCCGGAGGCTGCGGCATCAGGTCTCAGAGCAGACAGGCTGGGGACACAGGGCCGCGGGAGGACCACCTGGGCATCAGGAGACAGGTGACAGGGGTGGCATGGTCACCACCTCTAGATTGGGGGAGAGTGCCGCCACCAGGCTGGTGGTGGTAGGTTGGTCTAGGGATCACTTCTTGGCATTGGCGGGGGGCAGGCTTCCCAGGGCCAGGAGGAGGCAGAGGGAATAGGAAGTGGTTTGTCAGGGAAGAGCAGAGCCATGTTCTTGGCGGGCAAGGGTGGGCCTTGCTAACCTGCTGCGGGAGCCCTGGGCCACCCTCTCGCCCCAGTCCTGAGCCCGGGAGCTCATATGGTCACCTGCCCCACGTCCCTGAGCAGGCTGCAGCGTGGAGACAGCGCTGGAGGCCGCATCCCTGCACCCTGCCCAGCTGCTGGGCCTGGACAAGCACAAGGGGAGCCTGGAGTTCGGTGCTGATGCAGGTGAGGCCCCACGCAAGCGGGGGGGGGGGGGGCAGTTCCTCCCCAGGCTCCTGGCCAGCCTGCTGCCACCGCCTCTTGGGCCCCTTTCCCAACAGCCACACTTTCTGTTGTCTGAGTGAGGGCGGTGGGTGGCAGGGAGCACTGTCCTGGGATTCCAGCGGGAGGAGCTGCAGCTCTTGGTTCCAGACCTCTGGAGGGCTGATGCACCAGGCACCGGTGGTAGTCCTGGGCCCTGGCTCCCCATCGGGCACACATCGGGGCATGACTTTGTGGGAACAGGCCCCCCTCACCGTCTCCCCTCCTCTGGCTCCATCGCAGACTTTGTGGTGCTCGATGAGGCCCTCCGTGTCCAGGCCACGTACATCTCAGGAGAGCTGGTGTGGCAGGCGGAAGACGCCAGGCCGTGACAGAGGGCCCTGGCTGGTGTGGCACCAGTTGGATGCTGGCAGCTGGCAGGGTGGGTGCCGGGGAGCTGGTCTCCAGCCCTGCCCTGGTCTGCAGCCACCCCCGGGGGGCAGCGGCGTGGATAAACATGCAGCCAGCAGGACTTGCCTTGTCTGAGTCGTGTTTGCATCTGGTGCTGGGCTACTGGCTGCTTTCATGGCAGCCTGGGGCCTCCGGGGAGGTGTCGGGCCGGGGCCCTGGGGTTGAGGGGGCCCTGGGGTTGGGGGGGCGGGGGGCTGTCTACTGCTTTCTGAGCCACAGGAAGATGCCAGGCGGGGAAGAGGGAGAGCATACTGTCGGAGGACCGTGGGAAGGGGCCGGAGGACAAGGGATGGTGTGCGATGTGTATTCGCTGCCCCTGGGCTGGGTGGGCCTCCCAGCCCTGGCACTGGGGTCACTCAGCAGCAAGGACTGGGGGTGGTGGCCTGGGGACCCCTGGGCCTCTCGCCCTGCCCCCTGACCTGCCGGCCCCCAGCGTCCAGCGGGCTGGCGAACAAGATGCCACTCCCAGGGGACCTTCGCTCTGCAGCCGGGCTCCTGACTGGCCGGGCTGGGGTGACGCGGGCTGGGGTGCTGCTCGGCCGGGGTCACTCGGGCCAGCACCAGACTGTTCTCCCCGCTTAGCTGCACCCTGGCCCGGGGTGGGGGGTGGGGGTGGGGCGGTCACCCTGACTTCTTCATCTGGGGCACGGGGCTCATGGGTGGTTTCAGGAGGACTGTCTGGATGCAGGGTTACAGACAGACGGCCTGACGCGGCTGTGTGCGGCCCCTTTGAACAAACGGTCCCGGGGTGCGCAGTGATTAAGAATTGGGCCTCGGTGCGGGTGGAGCCAGGGAGGCCTGGGGCGCGGGGCGTCTGCGGGGCTGTGGGCCCGCTGTCAGCCCAGGACGGCGGTGCCGGTGCAGAGCGCCTGGGCGGCCCCCGAGCCTGCACCCCAGTGCTGCGTGCGCGTCCTGTCCTGCAAGAACCCGAAGCTGGGTCACCCCCGTCCCCATCCAGGGGCCGCCCCCCGCGCGCCTCGCTCAGCTCAGGGCGAGCGCCACAGCGCCACTTCCGTTTTTTCTGGTGGTTTATTGGAGTAATGAGTCTCAGGGACTTTCCTGCCGGGGCTGGCTTCGAGCCTGGATCCTCAGATCTCAGCCTCCTGAGTAGCTGGATGGCAGGCGGGAGCCACCAAGCCCGGCCCAAGCGCTGGAAGTGTTCCGCGTCGTGGCGCCCCTCCCCTTCCCCAGCTTCCCCACCCCCACCCCCACCCCCACCCCGCCGCCTTTCCTGGCCCTGGGGCGGCGCGGAGGGCGCAGGTCCGCGCGGGGCCTGGGCCTGGGCTGGGCGCGCGGCGATCCCCGGTGGCCGAGCCGGCCCGCGCGCGCCCTGGCGGCCGCCCGGGGAAACAGCGGCCGCCACGCCGAGCGGTTCGGGTCCTTTTCCCCAGGAGCCCTTGGCTCCCAGGGCCCCCGGCTGGAGGCCCGGCTGGGGGTGGAGTGGGGAGTGCGGGCCACCGCAGAGGCGGTGCTGCCCCGGCTGGCTTTGGACTGTGATCCTCAGATCTCAGTCTCCCGAGTAGCGAGGATGGCAGGCGGGTGCCACCGGCGCCTCTGTGATCTCACACCGTCCTTGAAGGTGACCCTTCAGCCATCACAGAGACTGGGGCTGAGAAAGGACAGAGAAGGAAATCTCGCAGCTCCCTCTAGCCGAGGTGCTATGACCTGCGCCAGGCCGGGTGAGACCATCTTCCCTAGCATCCTGCATCCTGGGATCCGCCTGCCTCTCCAGGTGTAGGAGGAGGAGCTGCCTGGTGGGGCCTCGCCCGGCCTTGCCTGCTGGCAGTCTTCAGGGCCCAGGAGGGCTGAGCGCCGGCCTCCCTCCGCCTGCCCCTCCCTTGCCCCTCTGCTGCCTCCTCCAGGGCACTGGCTTCTGCTGCTCCCGGGCTCTCCTCATCTACTCACACTCTCTGTGTCTCTGAGATTGCTCAAGAACCATGTGACTGTGTCGCAGCAATGGGCTTAAGCAAGAAAAAAAAGCAAAAGAACCCAGATCACTCTCCAGTCGAAGTCAGCCCCCACTGTGGTTGCCTGTGTTTGGTTCTTGTTCTTTTGCACTTGCTTTACTTACACCGGAGTCTGGAAATGTAGATCACAGGTAGAACTCTCCCCAGTACGCGCAAGGTCCTGGGTTCCGTCCTCAGCAAGTTGTACACGTGCTTACGTTTCTAGGAGGAAAATCATCAGGGGCTGTTACTTTTCTTGGTATTGTTGGGTTCAGGGTCTTTGTAGCCCGGGCTGGCCTGGAATTTGTGACCTTCCTGCATTAGCCCCTTTGAGTGCTTGGTTCTCTTGTGTGTGTGTATATATATTTACTGTATATATGCAATATATTTGTGTATGTGCATAAACAAAACTGGGAATTCTTTTTGTGTCTGTTAGGAAAGAGACTGACCCACACGAATCCACAAACATTTATCCCATCCACAAATGGACTATCACTCTTCTGCACCCTTCACAGCTGAGGAAGCGAGCAAGCGAATGTCAGGAGAGTCAGGTGCTAGCGGTTCGTGCCATTTAGGAGGCTGAGATCTGAAAACAGAGGTCCAAAGGCAGCCTAGACCCACACATCTCCAGTCGTCAGCAAAAAGCCCGGACTGGTGGCACAGATCAAGTGGCATGGCTGAGCCTTATGCAGAAAAGGTGGAGGGAGCCAAAGCCCGAGGCCTGGCTGCAGGCCCACCCCCGGCTACGTGCAGAGTGTGACTCGGACAGCCGTGGCCATCGCAGGACAAGGCTATGGCTGCCCCCGGCTAGTGCACCACTGGCGGCCTCAGGGGCCCCGCCTGGCAGCTGTCCAGGCCTCAGTCCCCTACAAGCTGCAGCGCTGCCCGCTCCTGCCTCAGTTTCTTCATCTGAAAACTGGGCAACAATATCGCGGATGCTTTCAGACGTCAGTAACCAGGACAACACCCGCAAGGGAAGGAGGTGGGAGAAGCGTTCAGGCCGGGCGGAGGCGCTCAGCCCCCCGCCGCGGTCCTGAGCGTCGGCCGCTCACTCAGAGCCCTCCGCGAGTTCGAGCGCAGCCCCGCCGCCGTGGCGGCTGTGACCTTGGCGGGCGGGGGCGCGCACGCTCGCGGGAGCCTCAGTTTCCAGGCCTGCGAGCCCAGATGACAGCTCGGCGCGGCCCCGCCCGGCCCCGCCCGGCCCCGCCCCGGGGCTCGGGATAGGCTCTGGCCGCGTTCCCCCCTCTCCAGGCGGGCCGGGCCCCAACCCGGAAATGCAGCTCGGAGGCGAGGGCGTGGCCCGCAGGGACCGTGGCGAGCGACGGTAGGCCTGGCCAATAGGCGCTGGGCGTGGCGGCACTCGTGCGGAAGTCCCGCCCTGCGTCGCGCGGGGGCGGGGCGGCGCCGGGGGCGGCGGGCGGCGGGCGGCGGGGCGGGCGCAGGATGAGGGCGGCCATTGCTGGGGCTCCGCCGCGGGGAGGAGGACGCTGAGGAGGCGCCGAGCCGCGCAGCGCTGCGGGGGAGGCGCCCGCGCGAAAGCGAGGCCCATGGCCAGGACCACCAGCCAGCTGGTGAGCGCGCGGCGGCGGCGGGGCTCGCCGGCCCGTTACCTGAGAGCGCGGCGGCCGCCGGGGTCCGGCCCGGGGCCGCGGGCCGGGCGGCGCCGCACCTGTGGCGGGGCCGGCGGGTCGGGCGGCGGGCGCCGGCCCGGGGCGCGGCCGGGCCGCGGCGGGCGCCGGGCGGCCGGGGCCGCTGACAGGCGCGCGGGGCGGGGGAGGCCGGGAGGTGTCACCCGGCCGGGCGGGGTGGAAGCGCCTGGAAAGTTTGTTTTCGGCCCTGCGCAGCCGGGAGCCGGGCCTCGGGGCGCACCTTGCGGTCCCGCCCGCTGACGGAGCCGCGGCCCCGGGGGCCTCGCGGGGTGGCGGGCGGCCCCGCGTCGAGACTCGATGGGGGTGGTCTGCGGGGCGGGGGCCGCCGTCGGTCCGCCCGGCCGTGCGGGAGCCCCTCCCGCCCGCGGCCGGGCTCGGAGGCCCAGCCGAAGGGAGTGTGAGTTTGACAGGGAGGAGGGGTTTCGGGGAGGAAAACAACACCAACCACTTGTTGGGTGAAATGTTTCCATGTTTTCTCTGCGTTGCCAAAAGTATCCTCAGTGTTGTTGTTGTTTAATTTAATGTTTGTTTTTCTCCTGTTAAGTCCTGGAGTCTGGGTTAAGCACGAATTATCCCCCTTGTGCGTTGTGAAGTGGATGGATGGCAGAAAAACGTGAGGCAACAAGCAAAATTGGGTTCAAAAGCTCTGGGCGTGATTGATGTTCAGCGGTAGTGTTTGTCTAGCATGCACTGGGGTTCCCTACCCAGCTCTGGGGGACTGGGGGGGGCGGGGGGGGGCGGGGGGAGGGCAGGGAGAGGGCAGGGAGGCAAATCTCTGCTTTGAAGGAAGAACCCAAGAAGCTCACTTGGGCTATTATCTTCCAGGATGCGGCTTTGTGGTGGCAGTTCTTCATGTTTTTGGAGGGTCATGAGCCTTGTTGAGAATCTGAGGGGGTGTCGGGTTCCTCCTCAGAAGTCTCCAGTCAGTTACAATGAGTTTTCTTGCGTGTGTATAGGTGTGCGCATGTGTGCTGGTACTGAGGCTTGGACTCAGGGTCAGGTGCTGTCCCTTAGCCTTTTCACAACGGGCTGGCGCTCTACCACCTGAGCCACAGGTCTACTTTCAGCTTTTTGGTGGTTAAGTGGAGATAAGTCTCTGGATTTCCCTGCCCCAGGCTACTGGCTACACTGAGACCCCAGGGTCCCACCACACTGAGTGTTCGTTATTACTTCTGGAGGCTCTTGAGCCATCTGTAGCTCTGCCATGGACTTCAGGTTACAACCCCATGTTGTAGAGGTGGGTGATAATTAATCCAGGGTCTTAAAGGCGGTCCTATCCAGTTGAACAAAATACAGTGAAAGGCAGAGGAGATGTCCTTTGACTATTGGAATGTGCAGTGTGTGTGAGGCAGACCCCCTGGGATGCCTGGGGTTAGCACATAGAAACACAAATCAGGCTGCTGGCTAGCTCCTGGAGGCTGAGGTGAATGTGTCTATGTACACTCGCACATAATGATGCTGTTGCACTGCAAGGTGTGCCTTTGATGCAAAGGGAAGTGGGAAGAGCATACTTTCCTTCTCAGGGCCTTAGGTTCTTGAACATTATGGACATTTGTCATGTGCAGTCTGCTTTCTATTAGCTTTTTTTGCATAAAAACACTTGAACTCCAGTGAACAAAAGAGAGGGTAAAGGAGAGACTTGGGGTAAGGAAGCGCCAGGGACTTAGTCACCTGCACATGGGTGAGAGCATGCCATATTCCCGTCAGTAATGCAGACGTGGGCCCCCAATTAGATTTTCACCTGAAGTATGCACAGTTCCAGTGGAGTGTACTCTGGAATGCTGCCACTGTATAAACCCCCATTCCAATGCACTTTCCCATGAGTTGTGTGTGTGTATGTGTGTGTGTATTTTGCATCTTGGGGCTTGAACTCAGGGCTTGAGCCACTGTCCCTGAGCTTCTTTTACCTAAGTCTAGTACTCTACCACTTGAGCCACAGCACCACTTCCTGCCTTTTCTGTGTATATGGTACTGAGGAATTGAACCCAGGGGCTTCATGCATGCTAGGCAAGCGCTTTACCTCTAAGCTACATTCCCAGCCAGTCCCAACCAACAGAGAGGGCAGTATGAGCTGGGAAGGTAGGAAATGGTCTAGTCTGATCTTTCCCAAGAGTTGGAGGCTGCATGTCCTATTTATTAAGCCTCATTTACGTCAAACGCTTTGCTATGTAATTCATTCATACCATATTGTGAGGGAGACCCATTTTATAGGCGGGGAACCTGAAGGGAGAGGTTAAATCCCTGTTTCACAATAGCTGAGTGTGATTTGACAGAAACTCCAATGTCACCCAAGGGAAGGTCTTCCCAGGCAGTTCAGCCCAGCACTTGGCATAAAGACGTCCTCAGTGCTACTGCCCACTTCAACTCCAGCTTCTTTGGAGTTGCGCTTGAATATCTTCACTACACTGGGACAGGAGGCGCGTCTTCACATGGAAGGACAGCACACGCATATCTTTGGGCAGATGGTTGCATTCTTTGACCCATGGAGCCTATTTCAGCTCTGTGCTGTCAGAGAACAGCTGTTTGGAAAGAAACTGTGGTTTGTCCTCATTGTGGGCTGATTATCTGGTTTAGAACCCTTCTTTTGGAAAAAGGAAACAAGCAGAAGGAGAAATGGGGTGCTGTCAGAGCAACTCCCTGTACCTTCTAGGTACCCTGTACCTTCTTTTTCAAGGGTGCTGCATCTGAAAGGAAAGTCAGAGGATGAAGTGTCTCACGATTGTCACACCTTCTTGACTAGCTTTTCCCTGCATGCTTGCCTAGCATGGAGCATGATACATTTCTGTCCCCAGTGACACCCACCCCAATAGTAGGTACTAAGCTGGCAAGAGAAGGGTCTCATATGTTCTGTGTTTTACCAGAAGCCTGTGTAGAAGTCAGCCTGAAAGATACCTTGTGTCTTCAGGGCCCTTCTTGGCCTCTAAGCTGCCTGTAGCACAGTTTTGTGGAGGAGGAGCAGGTGGTTCCTGGACATGTGCCCCTCCCCCCTTTTTTCCTGCTGGTCCTGGGGCTTGAACTCAGGTCCTGTTCTCTGGTCTCTGAGCTCCCTCGCCCCACCTGCCAGGGCTAGCATCCTACCACTTGCCATAGCTCCACCTGGCCTTTTGGTGGTTAATTGGAGATCAGAGTATCATGGACTTTTCTGACTGCCCTGGCTTTGAACTCTGATCCTCAGATCTCAGCCTCACGAATGAGGCATGAACCATTGGCACCTGACTATGTGTACCTTTTTTTTTTTTGGGTCCAGTCCTGGGGCTGAACTATGGGCCTGGGCGCTGTCCCTCAGCTCTTCAGCCCAAGGCTAGCACTCTACCACTTGAGTCACATCGCCACTGGGCGCTGTCCCTCAGCTCTTCAGCTCAAGGCTAACGCTCTACCACTTGAGTCACATCGCCACTTCCGGATTTTTTTTTTTTTTTGCTTATGGGCCTCAGGCATGCAAGGCAAGCGCTCTACCACTGAGCCACCTTCCCAGCCTCTATGTGTACCTTTTTAAATCTGTGTTCTTATGGTCTGAGCCACCGGAGCCAGGGTTGGGGTGGTTCTGAGCAGCTGATCGTCCCTCATAGAGAATGGAGTTGGGAAGGCTGTGTGACACTGGTCCGTGCTGCAGATTCAGGATGAGCGTGGCCGGTCTCATCTAGGTGATGTGTTGGGATGATGGAGGAGAGTGGTCCCCGGCTGTGCTTTGCTCTTCTCATGGAGGGCCTTTTGTGGAGGGATTTGGACAGAGCCCCTGTGTTTTTCAGCTCTCTGAGGTCAGGTTGGTGTTGAGGAACACTGGGTGCAGGCTTGACTCCCTTAGCAGGTGTGAGGCCCAAGCCATGAGGTGTGCTCCAGGCCTGCCCGCGGGGGACAGGTGGTGCTGGGGTGCACAATGCAGTTGTCTGAAGGCAGGTTCAAAGGGCAGTACGGTGTGGGGGGTGCTGGCTTGGAAACTGTAACTTTTGGACATATATTGCTCAGGTCTTAGCCATGCATTCTTCTGTGACTGGATCATATTCTTCATTTGTTTGGTGTGGTGCCAGGACTTTAAAAAAAAAAAAAAAAGCTATTTGAATGTTGTGAACAGGTTGTGTGTTCAGTCTTCAGCTGCTAGATTGTAGGCAAAGTGCATGTTCTCAGAGTCATGGGGGAATGTGTTCTCTGAGAGGAGAAAGGCCAGCTTGGTCTTGTGGTTGCTGTTAGGGTCTGCTGTACCTGACATTGGTTGCATTTATATACGTGTATAAAATCTTTTTTCACTGTATTAGTCCAGAAAGTTGTTTTAACTGTTATTTATTTATTTATTGGGTCAGTTGTGGGTCATGGCCTGGGCGCTGTCCCTCAGATCTTCAGCTCAAGCCCAGGGCTCTACCACTTGAGCCATAGCACCACTTCTGATTTTCTGTGGTTAATTGGAGTTAAGAGTCTCATGGATTTTTCTGCCTGGGCTGGCTTTGAACTGCCATCTGCAGATCTCAGCCTCCTGAGTAGCTAGGATTACAGACATGAGCCACCAGCCCCTGGCTCTGAATTTTTTTTTTTTTTGTCGGTCGTGGGGCTTGAACTCTGGGCCTGGGCGCTGTCCCTCAGCTCTTCAGCTCAAGGCGAGCGCTCTACCACTTGAGCTACAGCGCCACTTCCAGTTTTCTGGTGGTTTATTGGAGATAGGATTCTCACGGTCTCTCCTGCTCGGGCTGGCTTTGAACCGAGATCCTCAGATCTCAGCCTCCTGAGTAGCTAGGATGACAGGCGTGAGCCACCAGCGCCCGGCTTTGAATTTTTTTTAAATTGGTCTTGGGGCTTGAACTCAGGGCCTGGGCACGGCCCTGAGCTTTTTCCTTCAAGGATAGTGCCCTACTACTTTGATCCCTAAGTCCACTTCCAGTTTTCTGGTGGTTAATGGGAGATAAGAGTCTCAGGACTTACCTGCCCAGGCT